GGGGGGGGGTGGCGTACATGAGCAGGTGGGCGGTCAGGTTCTGGGCGGGCAGGTCGCGCAGTTCGGCGGCGAGCCCTTCGGTGAGGGATTTGATCGCGGCCTTGGAGGCGTTGTAGGCCGCGTTACCCCTGCGAACGAGCGCGTCAGTTCCGGTTTTGTTTTTTCTTTGGAACGGGACGGTTCAAGATCGGTTTTGGTCCCGGGCTCACGGAGGGTTGGTGATGCCTTGCTTGGATCCGGTGTTGATGATCACGGACTGGTTCTCTTGGTGGAGCATCAACTGTGTTGAGGAAGCGCGGGCGGCGAGCGTAAGTGGGGGCGCACCCGTGCTGTACACTACTAAACTATAGGGAGCGAGACGATTACGCACGGGCACGAACGTCTGCTGGACGTTGACGATCCCGAACACGTTGATATCGAACACCTTGTGCCAGACGTCGAGGCCGTCCCACGACGTGCCCTTCTTGCCGTCGATCGTGCCCAGGCCGGCGTTGTTGAACAGCACCGCGACCTACAACGGCGTTGAACCGCATTTCGCCCGTTTCGCATTGTCCCCCGGAATGAAGGAGGAGGAGGGATGCGAGATCACGCGATCGCACGCATGGTGGCCGGTCCGCGGGCGAGCGAGCGAGAGAGACACACACAGAGGGCAGGGGGGCAAGGGGAAGGGGGGGGAGAGGGTGGTGTCACGGGCGTGCGCGCCGGGCGGTGCGGAACGGGAAAGAGAGCGCTGCTCACCTCGCCCCAGGTCTCGTACACGCGCTCCTTCAGGCGTACGACGTCTTCGAGCTTGCTCACGTCGGTCGGGACGACGATGTGGCCCGGGCCCGGCGCGGCGTGCGGCGGGAGCGTCTTCTGGATCGCGGCGACCTCCGCCGCGACGAACTCGAGCCCGGCCGCGTTCACGTCCGCGAGCGCGACCTTCATCCCGAGCCTGTTGTGATTTTTGCGCGCACGTTAGCAATATGTTCATCGCGCGGGGAATCGGATTCGAAGGGGGGGGGGCGAGGAGGGCGACGTGGGGTGTTTGAAGCTCTCTCGATATACGCACTTGGCTATCTCTTTCGCGGCGGCGCGTCCGATCCCGCTGGCGGCGCCGGTGACGACCGCGACGCGGCCGGTGTGGAACACGGGGTGCATCGTCTCGTCGAGGGGCGAGAGGGCGTCTTCGGGGCGGAAGGACGTCGCCGCCGTGAATGGCGGGCGCAGCGGGCTCGGTCCACGGCTTCCCATTGGCATCGTCGGAATTTAGCGGGGGGCAGGGCTAGGAAGGCGAGACTGGGCGGGAGGCGACGAAAGGTCGGTCGAGTTTCCACGGCGATGGCAGAACAGATACGGATGTATATCTGGACGATCGGGATCCAGGAGAGTACGGCCAGTATATATGTATGTGCGGCCATGGGCCGGGGGTCAGGTTCGCTTATATAGTCTCGCCCTCGCGACTCGCCGCATATGACGTCGAAATGATCACAACGCGCCCGTCTGAGACCACTCGCTGCAGTACAACACCGTCTTTTTGGGGCACTTTCGATGGGAGAGAGAGACCAGCGGGCGCCTCATGGACAGGCAGGTGACGAGCAACGTGCGGTGGTTCTGCCGTCCCAGCTGTTTGTGTGCGTCCATTTCCCGGAGCTCGGCGTGCCCAATACGAGCGAGCGCTGGGCAAAACGTTGGACCGGATCCTAAGTACTGAGATCCGAGAGGCCGAATGGGAAAAGGCCTATCAACGGCAACTCGAAAGGTTTTACAATTCGAAAGACAGCAATCTCTCGCGCGACCGGCAACCAAATGAACTCGAACGACCGCGTATTACACACATTGACAAACGCATCGGTCCCCGACCGCGCGGCCTTCTCGATGGGATATCGATGAACGCCAGTCGCAACGAAAACAAAACCATGCCATGCCATGTCCTTGTCCTTGTTTTTTTCTTTGCGCCCTCCTGTCCTTTTTTTCTTCTTTCTCCCTCCAGACAGAGACACAACCCACACAAACACAGGGGGCTTCACGCCGTCAGATCGCACGCGAACGGCCGGAGCGCGCACCACGTCGGCTGCAGCGCGATCGCGCCGACGCCCCTCCGCCGCATCCGGAAGGCGAGCTCGTGCAGGCGCGCGAGCGCGCCCGTCACGTTCGTCCGCGAGGGCCCGCTCCAGAAGAGCTCCGCCGAGGCGGCGGCGCGCGGCCACACGATCGAGTCCAGGTTCGCCGGCGACGACTGCTCGGTCCACAGCAGCTGCTGTCCTGGAAAGAAAAAATAAAAATGAAAAATAAAGAGTCGATGGGCCGTCAGTCGATGACGATCGCCGATGAACGTAGTTACGGCTTTTACCTCCTAGCACCAGTTTCTGCTCTTCGGCGGTGAGGTTGGCGAAGGGGTCGAACGTGTACGCCTGTGATTTTTTTTGTGTCGAAAATCAGCACACAAAAAAAAAGGTGTTGCGTTTTTTTACGTACCCGTTGCCAAGTCTTGAAAGGATCGCACCAGCTGTTCGCTTCCGGATCGGACCCCAGCCATTCGCCAGCTCCGCAGTCCTGCAAAAAACAACAAAAATCGGCATTGCGGCGGCGTAAAACGATTTGGAAAAGAGAGTGAAAAAAAAGAAAGAAAAAAAAGCACACCGCACCAGGTAGAAATAGTCGGACGGCGCGTGCACCAGCCTGTACCCCTTCCGCACGATCGCTGCGGCGTTCTCGGAGCTGATCCAGACCCTGAATCATTCCGGCGTACCCTCGTCAGCTTATCGGCGGGGGTGGTGGTCCCTTACCCCTATAGCTTTGCCGACACTCACATCACCACCGTCTCGTTCGACAACGTGACGTTAAAGTCCAGCACCATCTCTAAACCACCCAGAACAAAAAAAAATCAATCATCAGCATACAACGCCCACCCAAGTAAAGAAAGAAAAAAAGAAAGAAAGAAAAAGCCGCCTCACCTTCCCACACGACGGGCGTCTTCCCGAGCTCCTCCAGCGCCCGATGGTTGTTCACCACGAACGCGCTCAACGCCTGCTCGAGCGTCCTTCCCGCCGCCTCCAGCTCGTCCCGCGTCGGCCCGTCCGTTTCGTAGCAGTTCACGTTCACCTCGTCCCCGCCCGTGCTGAACAGCGCGGACGGGAACATGCGCGCCGCGGCCGCGATCAGCCCGCGCGTGAAGTTGCGCGTCGCGGGCGAGGCGAGGCGCAGCTGGCCCGCGGGGGGTTCTAACAATTTATTATCGTTATTATTTTTTTGGTTTTTTTTTCGTCGTGAGTCGAAAGGGCGTGGAAGGGCAGAAAGAAAGGGGATGGGAGAGAGAGAGAGGCAGGCAGGCAGGCAGGCAGGCAGGCAGGTCTCTCACCGTTGGCGAAATCGGCCCAGGGAGCGGCTTGCGGGCACGCGACGTGCTCGGGGTGCGACTCGGAGATGATCGCGGTGTGCCCGGGAGTGTCGATCTCCTGAAGCGATTAGACCGTCAGAGAGAGAGAGAGAGAGATAGAGAAGGAAGGAACTCGGCGCCGAAAGAGTTCGGGGGTTCCGCCGCGCGCGACTTACCGCGAGGACGTCGATTCCGCGCTAAAAGGTACGGGCTCGGCTCAGCGTCACGTCGTGAAGAAAGGATCCGTAGGTTTCAGAAGGGGGGAGAGAGAAAGGGGGGGAGGAGAGAGAGACGTACGGCTGCGGCGTACGAGACGATGTGCGCCACGTCCGAGGGACCGTACACCGAGGAAGCGTCGTAAGCGCCCTTTCGCGATACTTCGGTAAAGCCCGGGATCTCGAGCGGGAAGCTCTGGCTGTCGACGACGTGCCAGTGGAGCTGGTTCATCTGAGAGACGGAGAGCTCATATGCGCGTGGGTTCTCCTATAGACGACGCGTTTGCGTGCGCGTACCTTGGCCCAGCTCATGGCGTCCAGCGTGCGTTCGATGTCGGATACCGGGAAGCTGACAAACTCATTTTTTTTCCGGTTTCTGGACGTAAAAGGGCACGTCGGCCCGCGTGCGAATGCACTCACAAGTGTCTGGACGTGTCGAGCAGGAGACCGCGGTAAGGCTGGCGAACATGGAAAATTTTTAAATACCGAGCGCTCAGAATCAAGACGAGAGTCTCTCTTGCAGCCCACGTACAAACTCGGGCGCGTCCTGTATCGCGATCGGCGCTTCGAGCGTATAGACCATCCCGTCCACCGTGTACCACAGCTGGCCGAACGTCGTCAATCCCCGGAACAGCCCGAGCGTCGTGTTCGCCGTCAAAGTCGCCGTACCGCCCCCGGCCGGGATCGCCAGCGCGTACGCGTCGTCCCGCGCCTCGAGATCCTTGATCGCCTCCTCCGAGACGCTCGCGACGCCGGCGCCGGCGCGCAGCGCGACGGTCAGCGTCGTCAGCTCGCGCGCCCGGCTGACGGCAGCGGCGTCCGAGGCGCCGCGGTCGGGGACGAGGCGCCCGAGGTTGTCCGTCCAGAGGTAGCTTTCGGTGCGCTTGACGGCCGCCTGGAGATCCGCGGGCGCGTGCGGTACGGCGACGCGGATGGCGAACGCGGCGGAGAGGCGGAGGGGCGTGGACCCGGTCTGGATGCGCGTCGGGAGGGGCCAGAGGGCGTGCGCGATCGGCGCGAGCGCCGCGGCGCAGAGCAGCGTCTGTCTGGGACGCATCGCGGGTGGGGTTGAGCGAGAGATAAGGAGGATCGGCTTCTCTGAGGGCGGGGACGGGTTTTGTAGGACGGCACTGCGACATCGACGGCTTCTCTCGTCTGCACTGGGCTGTCCCAGTCTCGGACCCATGCCTGCCCGTCGTCGTCTGACCCCCGTGGCCCCCGAGTTCTATCAAGCTTCGGCGCTTCGAGTCTCGACTGGCGTGTCACGGTACCCGGCGGAGAGGACGTTCGATATAGACGGATGCAGGCGTGTCCGTATAGATAACGCAGGAAGGTGATTCAAGCATGCGATGCGAAGCGCTCCTTGATGCATACATACACCTGCCCGTCCTGGTGGCCAATAGCACGACTCCTAACGTCGCTGGCTTATGCAAGTCGTAGAGACGTCTTCAGAATGATCGTATGGCTGATATGACGTGGACGAGTTATTGAGGGAAGGCCAAAAAGCGCTACCGGTTACCGCGGTGGCGCTCGTGTCCTCTGTCCTGAACGCCCCCCATGTAGTACTTGTCTCAACCTGTTATCAAACCCCTAACGTACGGTCGAACCCCGTACCGGTATCCGTCTGGTGCATACTACTTCGACGATCTATCTAGACCTCTACCCCTCTATTCGCCCAACAGTAACTTCGTCAACCCCCGTTTTCACGACCTGCAGCTCGCAACGCACGGTGATCGTCGGCCAGCGTTCGCGCGTAGAGTCGTCGAGGGGATCCAGCAGCTCGATCAAGGGGACGCATTTTCCAGTTCCCGCCGCGCCAGTGCTCCGTGCTTCGTGCTGGTCGGGCGCGGGATGATGAACTAATAGATGGTCACGGGCGCGCGACAGTTGGTCCGCATGGTCGATCAATGGGTTTGCGGGTTGACTCCCGTACTATATACACCATACTGACTGAACTCAAGGTTGCCCCACATAGTGCTTCACTTAGTCAAGTGCAAACTCGCGCAGATATGATCTCGAGCTACTCGACGCTGGGGTAATCGCTGAACGCCTTAACGCTTATCAGTGTCATCTTGCAGTTTGGATCCAATCTGGATAATACTACCTCTCTTCTTACCACGACGGGATCTTCATCGCAAACGAGGGACGTATGTAGCAGCCACGACTGAAGCTAATCGTGAAAGATAGGCATGCATATTCGTATGGTTCCCTTACAAGTCATTCTTACGTGCGCTGCGTGGCGCTTCCCGAGGCTGCCCCAACCAACAATTCCCTTATCCTCCGGCCGTGCAATCGCGCTGTCACCAAAGAGAGCGGCCTACACCCGTTTTCGTCCTCGCTGATCACATCGGCTCCGTGATCGATGAGGATCCTGACGACCTCCTCGCACCGCCCGCCGCGCCAATCCCTGGTGACCGCGACGTGCAGCGCGGTCCCTTGCGCGCTTCTTCTGTCCACGTCGGCCCCGTGCCGCAACAGCAGCTCCATCAGCCTCGGCTGCCCCAGCTCCGCCGCGACGTGCAAAGGCGGGCTCCCGTCCGCGCCCGGTGCGTTCGCGTCCGCGCCGTTCTCCAGCAGCAGCCGGACGATCTCGGCGTAAAGGGTCTCTCTGTCCCTCTTGATCGCGATGTGGAGCGGCGCGCGCTTGCGGGACGCTCGCGCGTCCGGATCCGCGCGGAGCTCGAGCAGGACCGCGACGAGCGCCCTGTCTCCTCGCTCGGTCGCCACCTGGAGCGGGGTCAGACCGTCTTCCAGCGCGTCCACGTCTGCGCCGTGCCGGACCAGGAGACGGATGACAGCCTCGCGGTCACGACGACGAGCGTCCGACATCTCGGCGACGAAAGACCTCGAAGCGGCGTGGAGCGCGTTGCTCTCCACCGTCTCTCTGCTTCCGTCTGCGACCCAGCGCGCATAGTACCCTCGCGAATCAGGATGCGCCCCGCGTTTGAGGAGCATATCGACGACGTCCTTGCCCCCGCTTCCCGCTGCCATGTACAGCAACGAGCACCTCCCCGCGCCCACCGCGTCGTCGACCGCGGCCGCGGCATCGAGCCTCCTCCGGACGAACGTCGCAAACTCGGTCGCGGCGAGCTGCGCCATAGCGTCCGACAGCGTCTCCGAGCCGAGCGGATAGCCCTGCGCGAAGAGCCGGTGGACGACCTTGAGGTGGCCCGCCTCGAGCGCGAGGTGCAGCGCCGCGTTCCCTTTAAAGTTCCTCGCGTCCGGGTCGGCGCCGCGCTCGAGGAGCGCGTCCACGATGTTCTCGCGCCCGCGGTACGCGGCCGCGTGCAAGGGCGTCTCCCGCGCGTTCCCCGCTTGCACGTCGGCGCCGTGGTCGAGCAGCAGTCGCGCCACGGCACGGTGCCCGTCGCGGGACGCGAAGTAGAGCGCGGTGCCCTCGCGGTCGCGCCCGGCGTCGATGTCGGCGCCGTGGCTGAGCAGGATCCGGACGACCTCTTCCTGCCCGTGCTCCGCCGCGACGTGCAGTGCCGTCATATATCCGACCTCCTTCCGGATGTCCGCGCCCCGCTGTAGGAGGAACTCGACCAGCCGACAATGGCCGCGCATCGACGCGGCGTGCAGCGCCGTGCCGCGGGCCCCTCCGGGGAAGTTGACGTCGGCGCCTTTCTCCGCCAGGAGCCAGGCCGCGATGTCTTCGAGCCCTTCGTACGACGCGTAGTATAACGCCTGATGTTCCTTGGCTCGTCCCCAGACGTGGACATTATAGAACAAGACGGTCCATTGGGCGAGAAGCGTTCCGTTCGGGTCGAACACGTCCCGGAGAGTGTGCGTTATGCGCGGAGTCGTTGCAGATTTACTCAGGTCGGAATGGAAAGACCAGTACTGCACCGCGTATGGCACCAAGGGAAAGCTCTTCGTGAGATGTTTCCATATCTCAAGGTGAACCAGTTGTGGACGCTGGCTCTGCAGTATATGAAGAAAGATGGCCAGGCAACTTTGCGTTATGACGGCGTGGATAGCGGGAGATTTGACGATGGGACATAACTCTGGAGAGCATTCTGATAGCAGGAACTCTTTCACTGATAGGTGCGCTAGTTGGACGAGAAAGGTGTTATCGTTGTACTCGTACGCTAGCCGCGTCAAGGGCTCAGATGGTAGATTGCGACGATCCAGCTCCGTGATCGGCATGGCGATCAACAGGCCCGAGCAGATGACCAGGACGTCGTGTTCATCCCGAAGTTCGTCGTCCGAATCGTACTCTTCTTCATCGTCTTCGGGTATGGCCGCGACGGTGGCGACTTCACGTAGTGTAAGTGGTCTTTGAGAGAACAGGATCCATTGCAAGATTCGGGCAGCGACTTTTAAGTGCCTCGGAGCGATACTGCCTAGGATCCGCTTGTACGTTTGACTCAACGTAGGCGGCAAGTCCGCGAGCGCCTTTTTGAGCTCGGATATCGTGCTCAGGCATTTCCGGAGCTCGTCCAGCTGGCATGCTACCCATCGAAACCTGTGATCATTAAGGTGTCAGTATCCCGCGGTCAACGGCGGGATTTCCGACTCCGTTCTTGTTCCGAACTCACATCCCATGCGCGCCCGTGATCATGGCTGTCTCGATCAGATCCCTTCCCCTTTCACCCCATCTTCCAAGACAGGGTTCACTGTGCAAGCGATTTCGAATATATACCTCGATGTCTCGATGAATCAAAGTGTCTTTGAGGTCTATGCCATCCCACTGTGTAGTCAATAACCAGGCGGATATATCAGGCTCCGGTCGGCTGGTAACCAAAACGTGAACATGATCGAGTGGAGGCTCCGCAAGACATTGTAGAAAACGAAGCAGCATGTCGCGATTGTGGGGCGGGCATTCATCAAGGGCATCGATAACGACGTACGTATGAGAGAAGAGTCGGGATGTTTCTCTCAGCGTCGACGCGAGAGAGTAGATGTCTGGTTGATCTAAACCTCGACGGCAAGTTTCGTAGAGCCTCTGTACCGCCGCTGGAGGAGAAGTGCATAGCCATATGAGCTGCATGACCAGCGAGGCCAATAGGTTTCGGATCGATTGCTTTTCCTTGTCAGAGAAATCGAAATAAAAGTAGATGATAGCGGAGCCGGTCGGACATTCCGTTTTTGCGGCTTCGATAGCGGCAGAGCTGTTCCCATAGGTTTGATCAGTGGTGTCTAAGAGAGTTGATTTCTGACTCACCACAAAATAGTCTTTCCGGAACCCACTAAAACATCCCTCAGCGAAAGACCATACACCAACGTAGATCCACATGCTCACGAGGGCCGTGGACCCAAAGGTATGACCTCTCACTCATCCATTGCCGAAATGTTGGGCTCGACACAAACCATTGACAAGTTTCGATATCTCGTGTATCACATGCCCGCCGATGATTTGACGAAGAGTCCGGCACGCTGAGCCAGTTTTGAATCTGGCGAATGAACGCACGATCTATGGCCATGGTCAAGCAGGGGTTCAGGATGTGCATACTGGATCATGCTACGTACGGCGTGCTGCTTCCGCGCCCTCGCTCTGATCGTATAATTCCCTGCCCAGTTCTCGCCTGAGATCTACGACTAAAATATTTAGGACGTAGAAGCATTCATGTTGCTATAGTAGATGAAGAAGGACATACCTTTGTGTCGGCGCAGTTCCTCTTCGAGCGTATCTAACACGGCTTCTTCCACGTCTGCATCCTTCTGGCCAGCTACAACAAGTCAGGCATCATTCAAGGTTTCGATGATATGAATACTCACAAAGTATCATGGTCCGTAATGTCCCTAGGGCGGCGTTCACCGCGGTGAGGGTCAGAACCGGTACCAGAGAGACTTCTTGCTGCGACAAGCGTTCCAACCTCGTCATCAGCTCTAGTATGTCGTTCTTCCTGCGGAGTAGGCGACGAAAATAGAACCCTGACTACGATTATCGTCTCCGCTGTTGTACACCTTGGATGATCTCACCTAAGCGACCGTGCTTCAGCAACTTCGTCACAAGTCCGAGTGTCGCAAGCAGCTGCGCCAGAAATTGCACGATGATGGTCCGAACGACGTGCGTTATTCGGTTCTCTAGACGAACTACCAGTCGCCCGAGAAATATTTGCAGGCAATCGAATACTTCGATTACTGCGTCATAGCTGTGACCATTCTGCGTGGTCTAGGACAAGTGTTATCGATATGACAAGGAAGCAGGAGACCCGACGGAGACCTTCAGCAAAATGCGAATGGCTGCCGAGTTTGCTCTTGCTGGTGGGCATTTCTAGCCAGCATTAAATTAGCGACTTGTCAGCGATGACGGCATGAACATACCGCCAATAGACCTTCACCAAGGATTTCCGAGAGTTGATGGACAATGCCAACGACGGGCCGGACCGCGCTCCTCAACTTCTCTTCTCGCTCTCGATAGTCGGTGAAGGCTCCGTGTTCATACGCGACCAGCCGTAGCAGGTTGTCCGGAGTGTCGACATCTGTGATGGCGTATCGAAGGGAGGTGGCAGTATGCTCCTTGTATTGTTTGAGTGCTTCTTTCCAGATGTCTTCGAATCTGCCCGCCGCGCTTGGTGTGACTGGCGACGCTTCGTTCATCCCGATCCTAGGAAGGGGCTCTTTTTGCGGGAGAGTATTGTGGTGTAAGGCAAGACGCTGGAGAAGACAGGATCGGGTTCCAGGGTGCAGTGACCTCTGATATAGCCTGGTGGAGATTGGCGATGCTGCAACAGACGGAACTGTATGAGAGGACAGCCCAGTTCTGAGAAGAACAGAAAGATCAGGCGGGCACACCGTCGTCGTTCAAAACACTCAGGACTGGGATACGGATCTTGGAGCATCCGGCATTCCGATGTGGTTTGCGCCTATACGTGGCTGTATAAGGCGATGTCGTGACTGGCGGCGAAGCGAAGGACTCAGCTGCAGTCGAAAACTGTTATCAGTGGGTGAAGCGCATGAGAAGAGAAGCCTGCGGGGGAGCTTCGATGTATGAAGGAGTACTGAACCTTCACCAGGGTCCCAAACTCTCCCAGAATGAAGGTTCTGAACCCCAACGACCTTGACCGTGCCGCGCGATCAAAAGCATGCAGCACAGCTGGCAACCTTAGAAGTTTCGAACCCATGATACAAGATTATCGAAGGTGAGTGCGGAGATCTAAAATTGATTTTGCCGGCGCCATAAGGCGATGAGAATCACTCTTTGGAAGCATGGCACATACGCGGCTTTTAGTGCCAAAGGGTGTCGCAGAAAGAATGTACGGGATGCGATGGCGATGATATAGGGCACCGCGTAAGCCCCCTCGAGACACTGACGGCAAGTCGCTGCTGGCTGGCTCACCGTATCCCGAGCGGGCGCCACAGCCTGTGGCGCCCGTTCGGGATACGGTCTGAGGTTAGGTTGCGACCGTACTAAATCTGTTCCAAGATCAGAACATACCTTAAAGCGCCGGTGCGGACTCCTTCGTCATACGCAACATCGTAGGGCGGTGTAGACGACACGATAACCCATCATTACCGCCATGAGATGGCTGGTGCCATAGATTGGCGTTGAAGGATTGGTATCGCTGCATCGCTGCTCGTGGCAACTGTGAACAACAGGACAATCGCGTCGTGTGCTCGACCGCGTTCCGAAAGCTCATCGGTGCTTCCGATTCTCGAGCTGTCTTGGAGAGAAAGCAACTGATTGAACCAGCGGAGAGTGACATCACAGAGGCACATCCAAATCAACACGAGACCACGTTACATCCCGACAGTGTCTAAAGTTGCGTCGCAAGCGCGTTGACCTGCGCGATTTCAGCCGCCGATGCACCCACGGCGTTCTATGGAACAATACATCAGTCTGCTAGTTCTTCAGGAGGACGAAGCGAGACGGAGATCTCGACTGCAGCAGACTACAACGAACCTTAGTGACCTTTCCTAATTGATGCTCGACCGTATCCGCGACGTCTAGCGTCTGACCTTGCGCCGTCTTCACGCGCGCGATCTGGAACTGCAGGAAGAACTTCGGTCCCTTGAGCTTGGTGAGGAGAACGGAGGAGTTGGGCTGCGAGCGGGTGCCGGCTTCGAGGGCAAGGTAGTCATTCAGTTGATTCTGGAGCGTAGTGAGATCGGCGGTCGCCGGATCTGAGGGGGTGGCGAAGGTTTGACTGGGAACAGTTCGGGCGCGTTAGATGACGACAGGGGAAGACAAGGGGATAGGACGAACAGTGCAAAGCCAATGGGTGATAGATTGGACTTCTGGAAGTCGATAGTGCTGTAGGCGATACCGCCTGAGATGAGGTCGGGTACACCAGGCGCGACTTGGACCTGAGACGTTGCGTGTTAGTGAGACCGGTCGACGGCGACGCTGGACCACGCACCGCGGTGTTGCAAGTCACCGCATTCTCAATGGCGGGTAAGCCATCGGCGACCTCGGCGGGTAGCGCGACGGATCCGGTAACAAAGCAAGGATTCGCCCGTCGAATTGGGGCTGCGTCGCGGTGGCATTGTCAGTCAAGGCCACAAGGAAAGGACGACGTGGCGAACCTGCCGTCGCAGACAATGCCAGCAAGAAGAACGCCAAGAGAGTTACAACCATATCAAAAATACAGACGACCTCTATTTGACTGCGTATCCGAACGAAGGGCTTGTGAAGGAACAGTGTCGGCAACCAGTCCGGAGCACCAGGCTGAAGCAAACGAACGGACGACGAGCAGAAGTGACACTGATGGCAGCGAATGTGTTCGGATTTTATACCGTGCCGCTGGAGATTTAGCCATGAGACCGATGTCTGGGCACCATATCCAAGCGTCCTTTGGAATAATCCTATGTTTCCATAGCAGAGTGAACCGAGTAAAGCGCGCGATCACTTTTCGCGGTAAATCCTGCCGAGCCGGCCGAGAGCACAGCCACTTATAAGCGTGGGTTTCTTGTCTGCGCTCGACATCCAGCATGGCGTTGTTTCCCTCACGGTGCTAAAGTCCGTAACCCGGGAGTACTCAGATCTAGCTCAGGATACTAGAAGATCCCTCGAGACTGCTATAACATGGCCACATGAGCCTGTAACCCGACGGATACCCTTGGATGATCGATGAGCGGTGGCATCTGGGACACACCGGTGGCGCCCTAAACAAACGAGTGTGGCCCATGGCCAGCATCTGGTATATATTACAATGCCTTGCTTATTTCTGACATATCGCCTTGGGCAATGCTCAAGAGAACCCCGCAAGCCGTTGCTTTGCGTTAGGTCTACTTAACAGCTCATGCTCGGGGTCCGCTCGTCCCAGTATCTTGCTCTGCATCCTCAGGCTATGCTCTCCTCCACTCACACAGACGGCACAGACCGCGGAACCTCGATTTTACTCAAAACGGCAACTCTGTCTACGACGCTCAAGGGCTTTAGTACGTCGTCGACGAAAGAAGGGACCTGGGCCTACGACGTTCCTTCACCCCCGTCATCGGAGAGTATCACATCTGGCTCTAGTCTTGACGACAGCGCAGATGCCTCCGCCACTCATGCACTGAGGAAGCCTTCGACGTCGGTCCCGACAACCACCTCGAGCTGGTACCTCATCCCGAACGTGAACACCACCAGTGCGCCGAAGACGCCTCCGGGACTCACTCTCAGCGTCCGACGCATCTCCCCCCGTGCCGCTAAAGCCCGTCTCATGTGGCTGCGAGCGAACGGTCGCGTACCCCCGGACTTCTCCGCTTGCCGCCCTAGCAGCACTCCACCTCCACCTCCGCCCCTTCCCTGGCCCTACATCGCCGCCAGCGACGCCGATTACTGCCCCTCGTTCGTTGAGTTTCCCGCAGCGCACCAAACCAATATGGAGACGATCGAAGATTGGGTAGCGGTTATGATCCCTGGGATCGCGGCTTCGCACGCCATCACTATACGCACGGTGAACCCAACCTCCTTCCCCGCGTTTGCGTTTGCCTCGGGCGCTAACGTCGCCAAAACTGGACCAACTCGGCTCAACACCGGCAAGTGCAAAAAGCTGGCGCTTCGGCTCGTCAATAGCGAGACGTATTGGTCGTCTCAGACGTTGAACGATCTCGCATGGGCTTTTATCAAGCATGCGACGGACACACAACACGCACGCCCGTTTGCCGCCGCTCTGTTCGCCAAGACGGTGCGCGACCAGCTAGCTGAAACGGCAGGACAGTGGGTCGCCCGCGACTTCGTGGGAAGACTGGAGAACAACGCGATGACCCGTTTTGCGTCCCAGTGGTACTCGGTCAGTGCTCGCATTTGACATGACCTGATCATGTCTTTGGGCTGACAGAACGCGATCTTCAGGGCAATCGATACTCGATCATGCGCACCATAAGTGCGCGTGGGGAAGTGCATGGCCTGGAGACCTATCGCAAGGGCGCCCACATCAGCACGCTCATCGGCTTGCTATTCAACTACGGATTTCTCAAAGCTGAGTGCGTCGTTGCGTGCTTGCAGGTCCTCATGGCGGAGATGACGCACGTGGAGCATCTTCTCGCAGTCGAGCGCATCGTGCGGCATTGCGGGCGCGACGTGTGGAGAGCGCGGGCCTCGCGGACGCGATTTCATCTGGACAATATCGTCGGAGCACGGTTGAAGGGGGCGCACGGCGCAGTAGACTTCGTCAAGCTGCTCCGGGGCCGAGTAGAGGAACTAGCCTTGAAAGCGGGTACGTGGCAGGGGTGCAGTATGTTCCGAGGAAGTCGATGGACGAGGCAGGCATTGTACGAGGTATTCCACGTGAGTTGTTTCTTGCTAATTCGGCCGGGCGACTGGTAGTTGACACCCGGTTGGGCTTCCCAGAACATTGCAGAGCATGTAGGAATCTGGTTCGCCAAGCAGTTCATGGAGGTGGATGCGATGACTCTTGCATATGCGCGAGCCGATTACAGAAAGAAAAAGGCCGCCCGGACACCGTTGGGTGTTACCAGAGGAAGCCGGCCAGATATCGACTGCAAGAGCTGGCCCTGCAGCCCGGAGACGGCCCAGGCGACGATGGTGAAGGCGGGCTGGATTCCCGCCGTCGTTGAGGTCCCAACTGGCGGAGGAAGTCTCCCTTGCACGCCCACGCCCGCGAGGATCGTGCCTCCTAAATCGGGCAGCATCTTTCCTTCGCCAACGGGGAAGTCGGCTGTTGGTGAAATGAGTATGCATTAAATATACCACAACGAAACCGATACGCTCATTCACAGTTACAACTTAATAGCGAGTACACGATCTGTAAATTATGATCTCCGATAACTATCAACAATGTTCATTTTTGGCATCAACCCTTCACTTGTGTCGCAATCTGCCTAGAAAAGCATAGTGCGCCACAACACGCCGCGCGCTACATCAAGTGATCGATAAACTACTCGGAGGGAGCTCCTCCTCGCTGCAGCCAGCGAGGCGACCGCCGCCCAAGAACTTGCACCGCCGCACGTGACCTCTTTCGCGGCTTGTGGACCACGTCGACACAGGTCGACACACCGCTGCGGCTACGCATAGCACAACGCGCCGCGCCCTACATCAAGCGATTGATAGTTCCTTTGCCCTTTGACATCGATGTCTCCGGTCCTGGTTTCGTGACTCTCCGTTGCTTGTCAAGAGGACTGACGATGATAGGATCACCAGTGCACCACACCAAGCACATGTCGTGGGCGAAGACATGCCGCGGTGGTCTCTGCTCTTGTTGACAAAGTGGCCTTTCGGCGTGTGGCCCTTCTATGCTCTGTCCGCCATGTGTTATGTTGCGGACAATGCTGGCTGGTAATTGCAAAGACTGTGCGGCCTTTGTGGCTACTCAGGCCACCGCCCGCTTAAATGCTATAAGACGCATTCGACCCTGTCAACACCCCCGTCTCTGCACCTCTCCAGGCGATCCTTCTACAAGACGCAAGCTGAAGTCATGCGCTTAGCCTCGCCATCCTCAACGCATCCTCATCCTATGCAGTCCGCTTTCATGTCGACCCCGAACATACCCGCCTGCTTGACGACCAAGGGGCCTCGCAAAGGCGACCCTAGCGAGTCGGCAGATTATATGGCGGGCTGGGGGTTATACGCCAATTGGCCTCAGCTGACAGACGTGCTCATCCGTACAATCGTGCTACCCTATCAGGAGTTTCTCATTCGCCGCAGTTCCATCATGCGGGATGGTAGAGCTCACGTCTGGCACAGAGACCTCATCGAGGGCATCTCCGCCACCGCTTCGGGCCTTCGTATTCAGTCGTCCATCCTTAACGAACCCCTGTCACTTCTACAGGCAGCACGACACAACAGCATGTTCTTGGCCACCATCACGATGAAGAAGCTTATTGTAAGACCTCAACTGGATCTGTCCCACGTCGAGTTGCTGGACGAACTTGCCTGGCAAATTCTGCTTCGTGCCACCAATCCTGTCACCGGTTCGCCGAAGGAGGCAGCGGTATTCGCAGCCATTATATACGCCGGATTTCAGGAGAAGGAGGAAAAAACGGGGAAACCCGCGGACTGCCTATTCCGACACCAGTTGCAGATCAATGTGATGACTACGTTTGCGGCTCTGTTTTACCATGTGAGTCGCTCGTTCGAACGGTTCACCTTTGATTGTCGAGCTCATTGAACGCACAGCGGAGCGAGTCCTCGATACAAGCTGCTGCTATGGGTCATACGCGCTTCAGGCTGGAAGACGCCGTCAGCTCATTAGGCTACCTCGCTCAGTTCGTCGGTGCACTCTACAACGTCAGGCTGCTCGATCCTGAGTGCGTCTTGGCGTGTTTGGAACTGTTGCTGGCGGACATGCATCGCATTGAGCATGTTCTCGCGGCTGGTGCGATACTTGGGTGGTGCGAGAGAGATCCGTGGACGTCGCGCTCACCAGGTGCCAACATGAAGCTCAATCTAGGGCAGTCATATGAGGGGAAGGTATGGCCGCAAGGAGCGGATGAATATCTAAAGGCGTTCAAGCGCGAGGTTGCCGTACTCAAGGCTAAGGCAGGAATGGCAAAGGACAAACGCCTTTTCATGCTTCCCCAAGCGCAATTTCCGCAAGAGTTATTGGAAGCGCAACAGGCGAGTACTTCTTTTCATCTCATATGCTTGAGAAAGGCAACTGAGTAAAAACATGGCAGAGGGTATCGGCCCATGTATCTAGACTGCAGTTCAAGATGCCCCCGCAGGAAGATTATGATTGCAGTACGCCGACTACCGCTACTGTTCCCATCACGCCTGTTACGGACAGTCAGCCGCCCACACCCGACGTGTGGCTTCAAGATTATGACTCGCACCCGCATCCAGGAGTCCTGATCCTGCCTGAGGGTTGTCGTGTACACGTGCCGGGACAGTGATCGTCGATGCGGAGATTATGAGCGCTGTTCACTGGATCTTGCAACATATAGGGATAACTCGTTTCTCCTTTCGCGCATTTAGCACCCAGCTCCCAATAATAGATTCATGCTTGAGGAGCGTGCTTCTGTATGAAAAAAATTCGCCTTACATCTCGTTATACGCTTCGAACAACTTCTTACCGCGATCCTCAGATCTCTCATGTACCTAGCAGTTGGCACCTGTGGTGGAGCGGTGTAATCGTGAAAGCTTCGAAAGTCGACAAACGATCTTGCGCAGTTGATCTCACCAGCGACTCAAAGACCGTCTGATTTGAGCCGCGAAGAGGCTACTCTCTTCCCGACCAAATCGCTACCAGGTCAAGCCCAAAATACTCGCCCATTGCGAGTTCGTCGAGTTCCACCAGCGGAAACGTGAATAGGGAACGGTCGAAGAAAACGAGCGGATCTGACCAACGGCGGACGAGGAAGTGCGATCGGCTTGTCGTTGATCTCTCAAACTTGATATGATGCCGCAACTCCCGAGGGTGGCTGTCCCAGGCCGGCCCCCACGCCTTCAACAATCCCGAGGAGCCTGTCAAGCCGGTTGGATGTAGCGAAACACCTCCGGCGTTGCACCAGGAATCCCAGTTGTGCGTAGCTTACTCGCGTCGGATCGCTACGTGTATCTCGAGCGTCCTAATCTCGCGCTTCAAGCCCGGATTCATCAGAATCGGTCATCTTTTCATCAATCAAGCCAGTCAAGTCTGTAAGCATTTGAGTTCATGTGATGTCCGTAACGTAGCTGTCGTTCGATGAACGCGCCCCAGCGTCGATCGATCAGAAAGTAACGGCATCCCTGAGAACGCCTGGCCCGATGTGGCGGGAAGTCCGCGCTACGCCCGCAATGTGCTCCGGCGTCGGCATGTCAGCAACGATATCGGCGTGCAAAGTTGTCCGAATACGTACTACGCCGCAGGAGTACAAGTCGAGAGAGTTTTTTTTTTTTTGCGCGCCCAAAGGCGTTGTTGACGATGTTTCGCCTCAGCCGATAATGCTCCCATATAAGTATGATCAGGAGATTCTAAAAACGAAGCGTTCAACGGGCCACGAACTGCAGGCTGGCAGTTAGCGCCCGGAACGTTTCCCCGGCCCTTTTGTCGCGACTCCGGGGGGGTCGGGGTGGGGGGGGATTCGTCTCTCCCTTGGGAATCGCGCCGTCTGTCCAGTCGTCTGGGGCGGATTAAGTACGTGCGGTCGATAGCATAGCATACATGCTATCGTGACGCAAAATATACGGAGCTTTCTGGAATCGATCGCCGAAGCCTCCGAGGCCGTTTGACCCGACGAAGAGAGTAAGTAACCACCAAGCGTGTCTGAGCACCCGCGCCGGATGTTGCATGTTTAGCCCATATAGCTTTCGCGGCGGGGGGATCCTTCCCCTTCGTGCGGAGATAATGGCGATAACCGGATGCGAGATCATTTCGTCCGATTATATATGTAAGGCGCCGATTCGGCGCTGCCGATTTCGTTTCGGGGCGTTTATCGCTTCTAGCACGGGTGCGAGCTCGCTTTGGCCCGTTGGTCTGGCAAGGTATGCGGTGGGCCTTTGAGGCCAGAGAAAGGGATAGCCAGATGTCGGAGCAAGCACGCATTTGCAAGAGAACGAGTTTCGTGACAGGCCGGTGTATGATGTACAAAAAAGTCTGTATGACGAGGCAAAGGTGAATAGGTCCGCGGTGCCGTCGGTTGCTGCAACGTTCTCGCAGACTCGGGAAAATCTGAATATGGACCCTGAACGAGCTAAGAGGAATACGTCTTCGGAAAACTCGAAGGCGGGAGGGCCACCATGAATGCGTCCCGAACGAGAACAACCGGCGGCCTGGGCAATCCAGACAAGCCCGCGATTCCATTAAGATTCCCTGGGCACTTTCCGCGCCGGCCGATTATGATGTTCCATCGAACGGAAGGAATAGCTGGAGATGTCTCATCGCAATTAACCTTAACATGCCATTGGGCCAGCGGTGCCGACAGAGACGGGCCGTCCAGGGGCGACCATGCGGGGTTGACGGTTACGAGCTCCCTATCGCCCTCGATGATAGATGTTCTTGGAACCTGGGGAATGGCATCTTGATGCGTGCGCGGTCTATTGTACGAGGTGTGAAGATGGCGGACGAAGGTGATCCAGGGCTGGGAGTTTATAGGATCGGCAGTTTCAGAGTGTAATGCGGCTGCGAGCAGTTCGTTGTCTCCTTAGTCTGGATGTCGGGACGCTGTCGAGTTTGTACTAGCGAGTATGTAGCACAGCGCTCGACGCCTGTAAAACACCACAGCGAAGTCTCAAAGAACACAGGGGTTGGCGAATGAAACATCGAGGAGTGCTCGGACGCGGATCCCTTCGAGCCTGACGTCGGGGACACGTCGGTGCAAAGTCACCCGAAATGCCATCCCAAATGCGGCAGTTTCACCGCCCCATTCGTCGCATTTGCCCGATTTGAGCCTTCCAAACCGGGAGATTCTCCCGAGCGCTGCCAATGGCCATCGCTGGTGCTCCCGCGTCGGCGCTTCCCTCGCTCCGCAAACGCCAGTTCCTGCCAGGCACGCCGTCGACCGCCCCCCCGTCGTACTCGCCGGGCTAGCCCTCCTCTGTTACATTTGTGTACACCGCCCGCATCGAACTCTGTCCTTGTGCTGGTTATAAGGACAGCTCTGCCTCTGCGTGAGCGTTCTCCCCTCGTCGGTCCGGTTCGTGACGCGTCGACCCTCCCTCCGCCCTTGTCGTCGCAAATATCTCTCTGCGTCCCTCCGGCTTTCGTGGTCGTACGCTGTTTGTCCACAACGACTACGATGTTAGCGTCCACCTCCAGGATCGTTGCGGCCGCCGCAGGCGTCTTGGCCCTCGCCGACGCCACGACGGCGCAGTACCAGATGGTGAAGCAGTACCAGGGCGAGAACTTCTTCGACGACTGGGTGTTCTACAACAAGATCGACGACCTCACGCACGGATACGTCAAGTGCGTGTACCTTATTGATTTTTTGCTTCCGTCGTTCCCCCTGCCTCGATCATCCGAAACCCGTCGGATACTGACGTATATGGGCATTGGCGTGACGTAGGTACGTTTCGGCGAAGGACGGACTGAAAGACCGGCTCGCGATCGTGAACGACGCGGGGAACGCGATCATGCGCGTCGACAACAGCACGGAGGTCAAGTTCAACGGTAACCGGAACAGCGTGCGCATCACGTCCAAGGACCGGTATACCGTCGGCAGCCTGTGGATCGTCGACATGCTACACGCACCCTACGGCGTACGTGTATACTCCGCTCTACCATCCTTTACCTCCCCCGTCCCCTGAACCCGTTACCTTTCTTTCTCCTCGTCGCTGCAGTGCTCGGTCTGGCCCGGGTTCTGGTCCACCGCGCCATCTTGGCCCTCGGGCGGCGAGATCGACACGTTCGAGGGCGTGAACGGCATGGTCCAGAACCAGATGTCGCTCCACACCAACCCGGGCTGCACCCAGGTGAACCCCGTGCAGACGTCGACGCTCATCAACTCCACCGACTGCGACCACCTCGCGAACGCCAACTCGGGCTGCACCGTCACGGACCCGAGCGTCGCGAGCTACGGCCCCGGGTTCGCGCAGGCCGGGGGAGGGGTGTACGTGACCGAGTACGCGGAGGAGGGGATCAGCATCTGGTTCTTCAACGTGCGTTTTTACTTTTCCCCCCCTCGTTCTTTCGCTGGGTGTGCCGTGTTTCATATTTTTTGCGATGTACAACAGCGCTCGTCGATCCCGGATGCGATCAAGTCCAATGCGTCGACGATCGACGCGTCGAGTCTCGGCACGCCCGTCGCCAACTGGCCCACGGGCGGATGCGACATGAGCACGTTCTTCGCCGCGCAAGAGCTCGTTTTCGACATCACCCTCTGCGGCGATTACGGTCAGTTACCCGCTCTCCCCCCACCCCGCGCCCCCTTTTTTTTCTTTTTTGATTTTTTGATGCGACGTTACGTTACAGCCGGCCAAACGTCCACCTTCGCGCAAACCTGCTCCGGCGAGTGCTACCAAGACTGGGTGCTCGGCCCGCCCTCGAACTACGACACGGCCTACTTCGAGGTGCAGTGGCTCCGCGTGTTCGGCACGACGCGGAACACCGTCGTCCAAGGGAGCGGGGCGGCGCCGGCCACCGCGGGCACGTGGCTCGCTCCGCTCCTCGTCGGCGTCGTTGCGGCGCTCTTGTGGTGAGGAATACCGCACGTACGGCCTGTGCTTACTTACCCCCCGTCTCGGAGACTCTGGGTGGTATAGACTCGCGTTCGTCCGTTCGTTCGTTCGTTTCGTCACGCTCTTCCGACCGCTCTCCGCGTCCTGCGCCCCACGTTACATTCGCTGTCGCTGTCTCGTTCTCTCCCCCCATTCCTATATCACCCGTTCGTTGCATCGCAAAGAAAAAAAATAATCTATCGCCAGAATGTATGTAGCCTAGTAGCTCGGACTTCTTTTGAAAACGCGCTATGTTTACTGTAACACGCTGTACGGCGATATGGACTAATTTAGCTAGACTTTTCACCCGGAAACGAGCATAGAAAATGATTAAGGGGCCTTGGAGGAGTTTTTCAGGACGAGGTGCCTGAGTCAGAAGATTCTGTTCCGCCTTTTGGGTCTTCGGGTGAGCGGGCAAAGTGGGGGCGGGGCGCCTTTGCGGATAGATAGTATCAGAGTCATTCCTTGCCAAGTTCAGAGGAAGGCAATCGGGTGGCCAGCACGCGTATGTACGCGTACGGATGTCGGTTATTGCACGGTCGGCGTGTTTGTACGGGGGGTTGTGTCGTTTGATCGCCGCTCCCTCAGTATTACGGTTAGAGGATCTGCGAGACGAACGCTTGCTCGGAATCGAAGGCACGAGGCACGGACTGTACCGGTGTCGACGTACGTACGTACGTACGACCTTCGTTGGTTCCTCTTTGGTCGCATGGCGTCGCGCAACGTTCCGCCCCCCCCCCTCTCTCTGGTCCGAGATGCAGGCCATACGCAGGAGGTGGGTGCATGCGCGTGTTGTTTCGACGTACTTGAACTTGCCGGACAGGAGCAAGTTAAGGGCAATTCATCGAGTATGTCATCGGCGGCCTCGTTGCGCCGTGCGGTGCGAGCGGGTATCGTATACTTACGAAAGTCGGGGACAGCATGGCCCTCGCCATCGAGATCCGTTCCTGTACATACATGCTGTCGTTTTTGCCAAGGAAGAAGGTTCGGTCGGAGGCCGCCGCCGCCAACGACGAGTCGGCGTAACGTAAAAAAACCGCAACCCGTAAAACGTGACGACGAAAATCCGTCCGGTGAGACAGACGGCGTAAACGCGTATGTAAAACGCGATGGCGATCTCGCGGCGGAGCTCCCGTTTGTTCGAGGCCGGCGGATCTCGATCTTGCGCTATTGGGACCCGGTCTGGGAATCTGGATGACGGTATATGGAGAGACTGGGGATTCACCCCTTGGGAGGGGATTCGGGAGAGAGAGAGAGAGAGAGAGAGAGAGAGGGAAGACTGGACGGTGGCGTCGAGGCGGAGAGAGAGAGAGAGAGAGAGAGCTGCGGTGGGAGTTCATATCGAGGGCCGAGACAGGACGTTTGGCTTGGGAGCGCTCGTTTTCCTTTTCCAACGTGGGTGCGGTGATCGTTTGATATGCGCAGGAAATATTGGGCCAGTGGCGTGAGATGTAGACTGACTGACGGACGGACGACATCCTGCCGCGAGCGACGCTGGGTAACGATGTGTGCGGCGCCTCCGCTCCGACATCATCTTCGACGAAAGATGAGAGAGAGGATGTTGGATCATTATCGTGGGATTTTTCCTCATTTTCGCTGAGATGAGATGAGCGGGCTATGTCGTGGGACAGCGTAGCGTGGCATGAGCGGGGGATCCAGATAGAGAGAGAGAGAGAGAGAGAGCAGGAAACGAAACCCGGGAGGCCGTTTCCTCGGCCTGATGCAATCGAGGGTCGCCCCCCAGGGGGGGGGGGGGGCATGCGCGCGAAACGTCGAACACGGAGAGAGAGGGGCGCTCGAAGCGCGGCCGGTGCGTTGCGCGGGCAGGTAAAGCAGGTATGTTGCTGAGATCGTCCCGGTTTTACGAGATGTCCCAGAGCAGATCACCCCTGCGATACTACTACCTAGTTACTGCACGTGGCGCAATCCGTGCCAGAAAACCTGGGGTTAGCTTGGAAAAAATCGACGGTGCCCGCCTCGTGGACGCGGAGGAACTGCATGCACGGTCTTTTGTTTCAATGGCGCGAGATCCCGCCACCCCTCGTCGGCAATCTACCTACCTACCTACCCCCCGCCCCGAGTTCCGCTCAACTGACCCATTCCGTTGACCCTGCCGTTAATACCGGGGAAGACCCTCTTTCTGCACGAGCCGCGTATATATCCTGCGGAGAGAGCGTACCCACTGACCTGGTGAGACTGCGAGAGCTAGACCGACGCCTCGTGCGCTCGGTGTATAAAATCTGGAAGATGCGTGTGGGGACGTTTTGCTGAACGGGATCATCCTGTGCAGTAAAAGTCGCCGGGACGACGGAACGAGGGCCAGCTTCAATATAACAGGGTTACTCAGTCAACGTTGTCCGCGTGTTCGGAAGGTTGCATTCCTGCGAGGCTGGCGGTGGGAAACGGGGGGATGAGCTTCTCGTGCGTCGTTGCAGGAAGATTATGTACGTAAGGTACGCACGTACGTACGCCCTTATGAAGTCGTGCCCGATGGAAAGATTTCGAGAGCCAGATAGGGTCGGTCTTTCGGCTTCGCGGGGGACCTTCGGGCTCTATAGTTTTTCTTTTTCGGGATCTCCCTTACGACTTCGTCTTTACTACACGCGCGTCAACGTGCTTGATGTTGCGATTCTGTATGTCGTTGCGAGTAAATGATAACATATATGGTCTGTGCGTCGTTCGTGGGGATGTATCAGCGTGTCTGCGGGACTCGTCTCAGCTCGGGGAGATACGGGAGTGGTAAGGGCGATATATGACTCTGAGAGGATGGCTAGAGTACATAGTGGGTCGGTGGCGCATCCCGTTTGTGAACTTGATATGAAGCGCGATGATGGATCCAGGGCAAGGCCCGGGGATCCACAGATGCGCCCCGCACTTGCTCGATCGGGCAAATGCGAAGGTCGACACATTATTTCCGCCTCCGTTCGCGTCACTTGGCGTCGCTCGAGACTCGCGCGTCGCCGCAAGCAACCGGTTCCCGACGCCTTCTGTTTTAGAGTTTGGGTCTTAGTTCTGGAATGTCTCGGCACATTTGTCGCCGCTGCTTTGCCGTTCGACCCACCCACACGGTCGCACGTCGTGGCGTTCAAAATTTGTCGGGAAGACACAGAGAGAGTCCCAAATTGTGATGTTTCGCGGAAACGCGACGCGCCGCCACGTTCGCGCGTGGCCGCGTCGTTTCCCCTCTCTTTCCTTCATCATGCATCACGCCCCGTGGGACGCTATGAACACCATCCGGGAGCTCTCGCCGCCGCCGCCAGGGTCTGGCGACGGCGACTGACAGCGAGTGGAAACCCGGGCCAATCTGTGCGGATCCCCAGGAGGGTGACATAACCGGGCTTGCATAAGTAGCCAGGGGGGCGCGTTTCGACCAAAAGCTCGCGCTCGCCCCAACGCCATCGCGACGATCGCGCTCGATAGTTTGCACGAGACGGCCACGGCCCGCCTGCTTGCTCGCTTACTCGGCTCTCGCGCTTCCGGCCTTCGCCTGACGACGGCGGAAGACACGACGACGACGACCGCCGTCCGATCGCCCTCCGCACCCTCGCCTTCTTCTTCTTCGCGTGTCGGGCTGCTGCTTCGCTCCCGAGCACCACGAGAACGCCGGCCGGGCTTCGATCCCGTCCTTCCCCTCCTCACCCGCACTTCCGCGCCGTCCTCCACGCCTCCTCGCAAGCCTATAAAACCTCCTCCCCTTCGCGTCGCCACGTTTCCGAGCATTTTCCCTCCTCCTCCTCCTCCTCGTACTTGGCTACGTCCTACGATCACGCGCGGACGCGTAAAACGGCCCTTTCCCGCGACCGCGACCATGTCCTTCCAGTTCGCCCATTCGAGCGCTATGCCGGAGCCCCAGATCTCGCTCGACGCCCTGTACGACGTGGACGGTATGGTGGCCGTCGTCACCGGCGGAGGCACCGGTGAGCCTTGTTCGCCCGTCCGACTCCCCCTTCCCCCCACTCCGCAGGTTCTCTCTCACCCGCTGATCTTTCTAAAGGTATCGGCCTCATGATGGCCAAAGCACTCGAGCACCACGGCGCGACGGTATACATCTTAGGCCGCCGACTCGACAAACTCAAAGCCGCTGCCGCCGAGCATAACGTACGTTTTGGCAATTGCGTTCCCCCCAAAAAAATTCACAACGCAGATCCTGACATGTATTCCCTTCTGCGCCCTCCCTTCTCACCCCGGCCCCAAACCCTTTCTCTCTCCCTCGAATCTTAATCCTGCAACCTGCATCAAACGCGAAAACAACAACAAAAACGCCACTTACATCATCGATTCGGCCGTTCGTCTACGCGCGCACACCCCATAAAGACGCACGGCAAGCTGCTCCCGCTGGTCTGCGACGTGACATCGCAGTCGGACCTTCTCGCCGCCGTGTCCGCCGTGCAAGCCCGCCACGGGCACATCAACCTCCTGATCAACAACGCCGGTCCGTATACCATACGTACCCCCCCATTTACCCCTCTCCGCCGTCCGCAGCTCCTCGGACCTTTTTTTTTCAGCAAGCGCACCAACTTCCACTTTTTCGCGCATATATATGCCCCGACATCACATGATTGGACGATCTTCTGACATATCCCCCCAAACACGCCGTTATAGGCATCGCGAAGAACCTCCTTCCGTCGAATCTGGCACTGACGCCGCCGCCGCCGCCGCCACAACCCGCTACCACCACCAGCCCGACGCACCTCGTAAGTCCTCGGATCATCTCCCC